CTAGATGGCAGCTACTTGAAAGTGGAACAAGTGAGTATATGCGACTGCATTGAAGTGTCTGGACTGGGATCAAAAACAACAAGCGATACCATTCTGTACTACTTTGAAAACACGAAAAAATCTGGAGGTGGAGAAGTCAAAAAAGTGGAGTACAATGATGGAGAAGTCAGGGCACTAGTTTTCTTTGAAGACTCTCAAGGTATGTGCGAATATATTATATGGCGTGATGAATACGACATATGATCATAAAACACCCTCTAAACGTACATTTGTTTTGCAGATGTGGAAAACGTTGTCACTCGTGAACACGTGATAAATAGAGAAACACTGAAAGTTGCTCCTTACTATCCATTTCTTGGCGAAACTTCAAAAGAACCTGGAGGCGGGAAAAAAGAAAAAAAGATACCGGTAGATCCTCTCACCATACCTTTCATCAAAAAGTTCTTCCAGCAGGAATTCCATGACCTCTTAAAAGAAMATGAAGTACGCCACATATAYGAGGAAGGACAAGAGGAACTTATTTTGATTTCTACTAACAACAAGATCGATAAGGCCAGATGGGATGGATCCTGTAAAGCCATTGAGGAGTACATCAATCAGATAATAAYRCAMCAAGTRCAAATATCTTCAGTAGCCTGGACTGACCTTGTCCAGCAGGCAAAAGAGAAGTTTSATTCATTCAAAGATGTAATGGAAATTACTTGCAAAAAAGAKAAACAGCGCATTATCCTTCRTGGGAGGAAACAAGATGTCGATGGATTGGCAGAAATGCTTGATGATTTGAGTAAAGAAATTGAGAAGAAGATCGAGTACGAGAACGCTAAAGTTACCAATACAATTTCCATGTCAAAGGCCCAGTTTGATCTTTTGAATATTACCGGKACTGCTGAAAATCTTATGGGGCAATATAAAGATCTTAAAGTGGTCATGGTGAAAGAAGACCGATCAATTCTATTCGAAGGACACGATCAGTTGGTAAAAGAAGGGAACATACAAATTTATAAAATCCAAAGCAAAATGAAAGATGATGAAATAGAGCTCTCTAAATCTATAGCCAGTATTCTTACTTCTGATGCGGGTATGATGTACCTTGCGCAAAAGTTCAAAAACAGACAAATCGACGCTGTCATAGGTCCTGCGGACGGCCAGGATGACACAAAGATCATGATTACCGCTTTAGATCGCCCAGATGTTAAAAAGGCTGTGGCTCTTATCAAGGAGATCATGACGGAGGACACTGTTCCATTAAAGGAAAATCAACAACCATTGGTGTTGTCGGAAAAATGGAAACAGTTGGAAAGTAACTTCAGGAGGTCTATGCTCCTTAGAGTGACACAAGATCCAAGATCAAACATCGTATCAATTGCTGGAGTAAAAGAGCAAGTGGACGAAGCCAAGGAAAGCGTCCTTGCGTTTTTCGAAGARAACGCTATTATTGAGAAAACTGTTGAAGCAGATSCCGGGCGTGTAAAATATATTTTYCGGTTTGAAAAAGCAAAACTCAAAACGATCGARGACACATACAACCATCAGTCAGTTCAAATCATAATGGGAGAAGATGTTGATCAGCTAACARTTCGTGGAACAAAAGAAGGCACTCAGAAAGCCTTTAATGAAGTACAGAAGCTTGTCAACCAGATCAAAGAAAAAACCGTTGAACTTGAAAAGCCAGGAACCAAGAAATTGTTCAGTGACAAGAAAGGTATGAGACTGCTCTCTAATRTCGAAAATGATCATTCATGTGTCATTGAGAGATGCTTCACTGGAGATAAAAAGCTCACCAGTGCTTCAGGTGATACTGGTTCATCTCGAGCACAACAGATTTGCAGTTATGTAACCCCAGAAGGAAAGACCATAGCACTCCTTAAAGGTGATCTCACAGATTACAAGGTCGATGTCATGGTCAACGCAGCCAATTCAAGGTTACAGCATGTTGGTGGCTTGGCAAAAGCAATTGTACAGAAAGGTGGGCGTGGAATCCAGGCTGAATGTGATGATTACATATTGCGACACGATCGTCTTTTAGACGGTGAAGTTGTTGCTACAGGTCCAGGAAAGCTACCTTGTAAAAAGCTTGTGCATGCAGTGGGACCCAGCTGGAACAAATTGTCTAAAAAGTACAGAGACGAAGAAACTAAAGAAGAACGCATCCTTGCACAAACGGTTTATAACGCTTTAGAAAAAGCAAAAGATTTTACAAGCATTGCAATCCCTGCCATTAGTGCGGGTGTATTTGGTTTCCCTGCTGATGTCTGTGCCAAGACAATAGTGGAGAGTATCCTGGCATACTCTGAGGAGAACGATAGGTGCAACCTATCTAAGATTTATATTATTGATATAAATGAAGATGTGTTGAAAGCATTCACAAAGGAAATGAAATCAAGATTCGGCAAGATGCCATCCTTTACTGACAGTACAGCACCAGCCAAATCTGAGCCGTTGAAAGTCTCATCAGGCGATACTGTTGTAGGAAGACGTAGAAGCGCTGCTAAGGTTGAGCAAGCATCCAACAAGGCCAGTCCTGCAACGGCAGTAAGTGGAAACGTAGCAGATATTAACGGCATCAGAACAGAAGTCATTATCGATGATCTGGCAAAAGAGGAGGTAGGATGAGGATCTTGTTCATTAAAGGTTTTGTGTCGTATAATGCATACGATAACTTAGTCCTTTATTTCCCTTAACTTGGTAATAAATCATATAATTGGTAATAAATTGGTAATAAATCATACGTGGATAATAATTCCGGATGATCTGCGTGATCTAGTGTTGTTGTCATTCAGTAGAATTCTACTGTACATTTATAAGAATAAGATAATTATTTTTTTTTCTTGCTATGGTTGATCAACATCATTAATATGAAGGTAGGTCGTTATGGTCAAAACTCTGAGTATGAAGTATTATAGTATATGCAAAGTATTACTTCCGAATAATATTGTTTTGTAAATCTATAGGCCCATGTTATCGTCAATACTGTGTCCAGTGACCTTGATCTTAGCAAAAATCCATGCGCTAAGGCCCTTAGTAATGCCGCTGGACCAGGTTTACAGCAAGAATGTAGYGGAAAAGGAAAGCTAACACCAGGACAAATTGCCGTTACAGAAGGYTACAGCTTAGGCTGCAAGAATGTTTTCCATGTTGTTGCAGGGGCAGCTTGGCAAAATGGGCAGGGCGAGAAGGTATTTTGACTACTACTGAAGAGCTGTAAAACGTAATTGTCGATTTATACCATTTGATATTAACCATGCGTTGTTATATTTTAGGTTTTGCGATCATTGATCGCCTCATGTCTGAAAAAAGCAGACAAYTTAGGATTTTCCAGCATTGCCTTTCCAGCCATCGGAACCGGAAATCTTGGTTTTCCWAGGGATGTGGTTGCCAGGATCTTTTTTGAAGAAGTTGATTCCTTTAAAAAAAAATATCCACAAACATCTATTCTGGATGTACACATCGTGTTATTCCATAAAGATCAACCTACGATTGATGCCTTTCAAAATGAGCTTAAGAATTTGAGAARTCCTGACGAAGATGGATATTCTCCTGATTTTAGCAAGGCTAAGAAGGGAAAACGTCGRGGTCATATATCCACAGAGCTGGAATTAGAAAGCGAATTAAGTAGCGCAAGTTACTGGTCTAGGAGCGACGATCCCAAAAACACCCAGATTGGTTCAGTGAATGTAGAACTTGTCACTGGGGACATTACAAACGAAACAACAGATGCCATAGTTACAGTTTCCAACMCATCACTARATTTRTCTCTTGGCGGTGGGGTAGGGGCCGCTATTGCAAAGGCTGGAGGAGCCACTATACAAAAAGAGTGCAATAAACTTGGCAGGCAGTTACCAGGATCAGTCGTATGTACTTCGGCTGGAAGACTTCGTCCCCGAAAGCTCTTCCACCTTATTCCAGCATCATACAGACCTGGTGATATCACATTTGTTGTATCAGAATGTTTTAAAACGGCAGAATCCCAAGGGGTCGATTCCATTTCAGTTCCTGCTGTGGGTACTGGAAATGTCAACATACCAACCAAAGAGGCAGCAAAAGCTCTCTTGAAAGCAATTGGGAAGTTTTGTAAAACRAATCCGTCTTCTATAAAGCTCATTCGTATCGTGGTGTTCCAAGAACATATGATTAACGAATTCCATAGAGCCATCGAAGACTTGATCAAAACAGAATCTGGTTCGACTTTTGGTGGAATTTGGTCGTATATAAAAGGACTGTTTTTTGGAACTGAAGAGAAAAGGACCACTAGATCTCGAGGCATCTTCGATGTCTATGGACGAATTTCCGAAGAGACAAATATGACATCTAGTCCACATCAAAAGATGGGGCTTAAGGTAAATGAGAATCTTCGAGTGTTGAAAAGATTTTCAACACGAGAAGATAAAATTCGTATCTCCAAGCGACCATGTAATATAGGTATTTTATAGATAATTATATGATAAATTAAAATATTAAATGTTAAACGTAAATAAGAAATTGTATCGTCCGTAGATATTGGCGCTAAATGACACAAGTCTGAAAAAAGCTGATRCTGCTATCAATGAGTTGATAAAAGAGCAATCCAAGAGGAAAGTAATCGACAATCGTCAAACTGAAATTGAGGGACTGACGCAGACTCAAAAAGATCGTATTCTACGACTTCAAGAGAAATATGATACAGATATTGAAATTGAGAAGCGCTCAGCTCGAATAATCATAWGTGGACTTACTGAGGATGTTCACGAGACAGTATACGGTTAGTATGTCGTAATAGATCATTTCACAAAGAACTATCATACAGTAGCCCTACTCCAGAAACTTAATATCGACATTGCCTTAGTAAGTAGAATGCCATACTTCACGGAGGGCGTAAAATAAGGCGAAAAATGGGGTACAAAACAGTACGCATAAAACGATCCTAAAGGGTATAGTGTCAGCTCGAGTCCCTAAATAATTTGTCCATCATCATTATTAATTTTGTAGGAGGGCCTCTCATTCTCCATCCCATCCCCTGGTCCTCCAGTCCATTAATCATTCTTGTATACAATTGCTTTAGATATCAACCACATACTAAGTGAGAAGGTTGAAGAAGAGCATCGACGTAGATTTGCAGAACTTGTGGCCAAGAATGTACATTGGTATTACATTGAAGACAATGWTGAGGTGGCCTACGATGATGAAACCAATGCTGACATAGAAAAAGCATACTCTGCTAAGGATGATTCACTGAAAATTACCTTTGTGGATGACAACAAAAAAATTCAAGATTGCAAAATCGACTTCAAGTCCATGAAGGAAATCAACCTTAATACTAAGACTGCAATTAGTATTGTGAGAAAAGAGCTTGGAAAAGGTATTTGTATTTCCTCATCAGGAAAGATTTTTATTGAGGTCCTTCTTTCCTGATAAAGAGATTAGAGGCAAAGATAATGCACATGTGAAAAGAAAGAAAAGAGAACTTTAAAAGGATTTATAAAATGACCCGTGAAATTTTATGATGGTTTGAAGACATACTGCGAATAGTCAGACACTGGGATATAGACGATATAGATCAAAATTAAAAAATAAAATAAGTGATTCTTTGCTTTAGGCATCCCGTTACCATCTCATTGGGAAACTCAACCTAAAGATGCTAATGGTAAAGAGAAAGACCTTCATCTTGTTACACTGGACCGTGGCAAACATATAGACGAATATAAAAAAATTGAAACAGCGATAACCAAGTCAACGCCTATCAACATTATCAAAATTGAGCGTGTACAAAATCCTGAGCTTTTCCGTGCCTACAYRGTGAAGAAGCAAAAGAAAGATGAAGGGAATGGTAGTAATGAAATGAAGCTGTTCCATGGTACAGCCACCAACATCTGCAGTTTAATCAACCAAAAAGGGTTTAACAGAAGCTATAGTGGCAAAAATGGTGAGGCATTATATAGAGGACAATACATGGGCGCGCGAACGAGTATCATATAAAATAGCTTTTTTCTTACTTCCACTATTTAGAGAGACCTCAAATGTTTTTTTTTTTAACACATTAAAATTATTATTGTTATTAAAATAACACTAGTGAAAATAACAACTTTACGTWATGGAGAAATATAGGTATTTTATAGATAATCATATGATAATTGAACATTGAAAATATTTACTGATGTGTTCATTTTTCGTTTYAGCCGTTGTCTACGGGAAAGGCACATACTTTGCGAGAGATGCATCTTATTCGATGAGATCTACCTATTCCCCAGTTGACTCTATGGGTAATCGTTGTATGTACCTAGCCAATGTTTTGGTCGGAGAATACGCAGT